TTTGAATTGTACAACAAAATACGATTCCAATAAGCCCAAGAGCGTTTAAAAATATTAATTCTTACCATAGTAATAAAAAAATAGTAAAAACATTGAAAATTAAGTTTTTCTTAGATATCTAATTAAACAATTGGTCGCTGATTATGAATCCGGCGTTAGTTTTAAAAAATTCAAAATGGTGGATACAATATGGCGGACAATTTTTCAAAAATTGATCTGATTTGCTTGAAACTCGTAACTCGGAGGTTTTTGGGGTCGCTGAATACGAATCTGACATCAGTTTTTTAAAATTCAAAATGGCGGATTTATTATGGCGGATCAAAATTACTAAAAATAGCAGAATTCGCTTCAAACTCAAAAGTATGAAGTTTTTGGGGTCGCTGATTACGAATCTGACATCAGATTTTAAAAATTTAAAATAGTGGATCCAATATGGCTAATGACATTTTGAAGATCAAACGCATTTCGCTTGAAACTTGTACCTCTGGGGTTTTCGGGATCGCTTATTACAAATATGACATCAGTTTTTTGAAATTCGAAATGGCGGATCAAATTCGTAATCAACAACCCCAAAAACTCCGAGTAACAAGATTCAAGCCGATTGCGGTCGATAAATAAAAAGTCGTCAGCCATATTGGATCCGCCATTATTAATTTTTAAAAACTAATGTCAGATTCGTAATCAGCAACCCGAGATTCCCGGAGTGAAGAGTTTCAAATGAATCTAATTAATTTTTAACTTTGTCATCCACCATCTTGGATCCGCCATTTTGAATTTTGAATAACTGCTGTCAGATTCGTAAACAGCTACCCCGAAAACGTTAAGATACTAAATTTCATACATTCAGGATTGCAATAACTTTATTTATTTGTAAAATATTTTATTTTTTATTAACATTAATTAATTAATTAATTAATATCTCGAAAATAACAAAAAAGGAAGGGAGAGTAGTCAGGGTTGGACAGTGGTCAGGGTTGAGCCATCGCGTCTATTTTGTTTTATCACACTAGATCCATCTGTTTTTGTATGTAAGGATTAAGACGTATTATGCGAGTCAGTGCTATAAGCTTAACAAAAAACTTTTTTCTTATTTCAAAAGAAGACAATTAAGTGCATAAAAAATATACCAAAGGCAAAGTAACTTGACGAAACTTGTTCACTAAGATGTTATATGAAAATGTGGTACGTAATTTGGTGTCTGGATCACGCGCTTATTTTTGTGTGTGATATGACGCTAAACGACGCGTGAGTCAGGGTTGAGCCACCCAAAAATTTTGCAATTATGAAGGGTTCTTGCAATGGAAATTTATTTGTCGACTTAAAGAGGTGTCAAAAACTTCATTTCCTATAGAAATAAAGGAAATACAAATATTTGATAATTTTTGTTTTACTTTTCGGACCAGCTTCGCGATATAAGCGAAAATCTAAAAATTACATAATAAGGGCTTTTTACTTCAATTTCGTGGTTTCTTTACACATTTTCAAGGGTATTTGAGCGCCATTCTATCATTTGAATATCATTATTAATAATTTATCTGCATATTTCATTGATTTTCTACAGTGGCTCAACCCTGATTACTTGGTTCAACCCTGACTGCTTTTTTTTTAATTGACTATAAGTCCGAAACTTTTGGTCAAATTTATTTACAATGTAGTTTCTTCTGAAAAGTTCACAAGATCTTATAAAAGTTCAAATGAATATTTCTATTTACTTTCTTAACTTTACATTTTGGTCATTATGGAAGACTTCAGGATTTGAACCTGAAAAATTATGGAACTCTGAATTGACTCTGATGCGCAGTTAACAATTGCCACTGTGTATGAGTGTGTATGCACTCGGCATTCAGTTTCTTATAGATTTCTACTAAGAAACAGAATTTATGTACCTGTTTTAGCTCAGAGGCTATACACCGGATTTCTGTACCTAGAGACGAGAGTTTAAATCCGCCTGCAGTCAAATTTTTTCTAACATTAATTTTCTGCTTAAGATTCTTAACACATTAAGCCTCAAATGCACTGAAATTTTAGACTAACTTCAAGAAATGATATTTTACAGATAAAAAAATCCCAATTTTTCGGAAAACCTACATCCAACGTATTTAAGTGTGCTCTTTCCAAAAATGATATCAAAAAAGGCTTAAAAATGCTAAATAATGTTTATTTGCAAAATGACGTGACTTTTTAATGATTTTTCAATAAATTTACAAATATTTCGAATGGAAAACAATTTTTCCGACAGCCATCAAGTATATAAATCGTGCACTCGATTGTTAAACTTCTAACAAAAAATATTCCCCTTCTCCTCCCGACTTTTATTTTTTCAAAATGGCGTCGAAAAGTTCAAAAAATTACAAAAAATAATTTAAATGTGCCAAATTTTTTAAAGTGTGTCCAAATTAGCTGAAAATGCTTACTTGGAGGTTTTCGGGATCGCTGATTACGAATTTGATGTCAGAATTTAAAAAATCAAAATGTCGAATCTAATATTTCGTCCAAAAAATTTTAAAGTCGACGAATTTAGATAAAAATGCTTACTCGGGGGTTTTCGGGATTGCTGATTACGCATTTGATGTCAGAATTTGAAAAATAAAAATAGCGGTTCCAATATGGCGACCAAACATTTTTAAAGTCCACGAATTCAGATAAAAATGCTTACTCGGGGTTTTCGAGATTGATGATTACGAATTTGATGTTAAAATTTAAAAATTTAAAAAGGCGAATCCAATATGAAAACCAAAAATTTTTAAAATCGATAAATTTTGCTAAATGCATTTAGTATACCATCTTTAGCCACCTAGTCCTAATTAGTGTTGCTTGACTCTCACCACGAGGAGGTAGATAGCTTTTGAGAATCATTTTTTTAATTTTTTTTATTATTTGAAATATTTTTAAAATTTTTTTGTTTTTTTGAAATATTTTATAGATTTTTTTGTTTCTATTCAATTCCTGATTTTATTGTTTTATTTGCTTTTGTATATTATGCTGTGTTTTTTCTGAATAAATTTTTTATTTTTAAAATAAAATTTCTAATTTATTAATTAATTTTTTTAAAATTTACTTTCATATATTCTGCTGTGTTTTTTATTAATTAACAACAAAGCATAAAATATTAAAGTAAATAAAATAATAAAATCAGGAATTGAAAATAAACAAAAAATCCAACAAATATTTCTAGGCTAGGTGAAAGCATTTTCAGCTAAATTCGTCGCCTTATAAAATGTTTGGTCGCCATATTGGATCCGCCATTTTGACATCAAATTCGTAATCAGCGATCCCGAAAACCCCCGAATAAGCATTTTTATCTGAATTCGTCGATTTAAAAAATTTTTGGTCGCCATATTGGATCCGCCATTTTGATTTTTCAAATTCTGATATCAAATTCGTAATCATCAATCTCGAAAACCCCCAAGTAATCATTTTCAGCTAATTTGGACACACTTTAAAAAATTTGTCACATTTAAATTATTTTTTATAATTTTTTGAACTTTTCGATGCCATTTTGAAAAAATAAAAGTTTAACAATCGAGTGCACGATTTATATACTGGATGGCTTTTGGAAAAATTGATTTCCTTTCGAAATTTTCGTAAATTTATTGAAAAATCATTAAAAAATCGCGTCATTTTGCAAGTAAACATTATTTATTATTTTTTAAGCCTTTTTTGATATCATTTTCGGAAAGAAAGCACGTTGGATGTAGGTTTCTCGAAAAATTGGGATTTTTTCTGTAAAATATTATTCCTTCAAGTTAGACTAAAATTTCAGTGCATTTGGGGCTTAATGGGTTAATTAAAATTGTTTCATATGTGTGTTACATTAATAATATATGAGTTTGTATTTGATCGCTATATATAAATTGTCAAGTGTGGTGTCTATGTTATGTAGTTATGTCTATGTGAGTGTTTACAAAAAAATGTGAGTGATGAAAGGAGAAACAGAAGAAAATTTTTTTCGTCTTTCTTAGCTAAGAATTTTTAGAAATAGTTCCGTAACTTTTCATGTCAGGCTTTATGAAAAATTCATGTAGTTTCATTTAATTTCTTCTTGAATTATTAATGTTCATTTTAGCAGAAAATAACAAAAAATTTTAAACTGTATCCAAAATATTTTATTACTTATTCAAACAGATAAGTTTGAAAATTTTCCAAAATTGTTGTGATATCCAGACTTACTGAAATGAGTTTTGTAATTTTTTCTGAATTTTTTCTTTCTGTGTGTGTGGGTTCCTTGTACTTAAGGTACGGTGATTTGTTTTTCATATATTTTAAAAAATGCAGGTATAACATAAAAGTTTGCATGCAATTTAAAAACTGTAAATATCTTTTTAATGACAAGATTACTTCGATTTCGATAAATATAATTTTTTATAGGGGAGAGTAGTCAAGGTTGGACAAAGTTTTGACTTTTTTGTATAACTTCCCCTGGGGTGCAATTTTGTAAATTCACTTTGACTTTCGATTTGATATTGACTTTGACTTTAGATACAAACTTTGACTTTGATTTGAAAATTTATGAAACTACTATATTACGAGGATATTACGTGAAACGAAAATTAGGATATCCCTAAGATGTTCTTGAGGTATCAAAAGAACATACGATTTTTTAAGATTCGGAATGTCTCATCGACGCATACAGAGTAAACGTCTTAGATACCGAGTCACTAATTTTCTTTTCATGTAAGTTTTTTTAATGCAAAAAATGCTATTTTGTGTTTCTTTATAAAATTTTACAATTGTTCTAAGCACATCAAATTCAGACAAAAAACGTATGAAAACGTTGCATCGTAACAATTTTGATATGCTTTATGTATTAATTTAATATGTTAGAAAAACTGTGTTATAAGCTAGAAAGCAATAAATGATTATTCAAATTTCTTAAATGTGAGTATTTTTCACGTGGATTACAGTGGACATAAAATAACATGAAAATATTAATTTGTTTGTTTGTTTGTTGTAGCTTTTAATATCTATTGTTAATTAAAATTTTTAATATTTTATTTTAGGTGCGGAATTATAAGTGTGATTAAGATAGACCATATCGTACAAAATGGAATAATAAAGAGTTTCAATATAATTTCTTCAAAAAAATGTAATAAGCATTAATCTTTGATCAATTGATATGTGTCATAATGAAAAATATTTTTATTCTTCTCTTCTTGTTCGTTCCAATTTCATTTCTAAAGGAAATTAAAATTAAAGTTAATCCACGCATTGTAAATACAAGATACGGAAAAGTTCAAGGGTTAATTCAAACATTTGATTACAATAAAGTTCTAAAACCCATTGATGTATACCTTGGTATGCCATATGCTACTCCACCTACCGGTAATAATCGATTTTCACCAACTAGAGCACCTAGTCCGTGGGATGGAATCAGGTAAGAAACAAAATATTCATTCGTAAATATTTTTTCTAATATTATTTTAAGCCTTATTTATTTAATTGTATCAAATGAAATTTTCTCTCTAACAGCTCAGTGGACAAAAAACCATGTTTGTTCTAAAAGCGTTTTTAGAACGCTTCATGTCTAATAAATAATGTTCTAAAACATTTTAAGAACATGGATGTTCAAATAATGTTATAGAACATTTTTTGTCTGACAAGAAATATTCTAAAATCGTTTTAAGAACATTTTTGAAACAAACATGGTTTTTTGCTCACTGGCAGTGGTCGGTTTCGTAATGTGTTATATCGGCATTTTTTTCGAACTTTTAAACTGTATGTAATCGCTCATGAGTGTGCTCTTTAAATGCATCATGGATTTAATGATTATTTTAATTATGTTGAAAATGATATGTGTAAGTGAAAAGGTAAAAGAAAAGTTCCTTGTGTGTAAATTTGTTTTGAGGGTTTCGTGACCAAGAGCCGAAACACTTATGGCCAGAATTTAGCGTTTGCCCGTCGGTCTTAAGTCTAATGCATAAGACTTAAGAGCATAATACATTAAAAACTTAGACATAATACTTAGACATAATATTTAAATAAATAACAATTTACATCGAAATTTTAAAATAAATAGTTTTTCTTTTTCATTTATCATAACTATTCTATCTAAATTTGAATCAGCAACAATTTCACTGATTAAATCATTGAATGAAGTTTTTATTACGAATCAGAAGTTACAGCAAATAAAATATCGAAAAAAGTATCTGCGATCATCGGATATTTTTGAAGAAAGTTTATAATCCGCGGATTTATTAGTGAAATAGAATATTCCGCTGATTGAAATAGTTGACTGTCACAGATTTTCAGGTGATCACTTATTGCTTTTTTGAAACAGCGATCATGCGCTGCTAATCAGAAAATTAAAGCTAATTTAAATTTAGAAAGTTGGATTGAAATTGACAATTTTATAACATTAAATCTACTGAATCTTATGATGTAGTTGATTTGCGCCTGCTTCTTTTACTGATTTTTTTCAGTATAATAGGAGTATAACTTTTTCAACAAAACATTATAATACAGTTTATGGCTAATAATAGAAGTAGTTGAGAGTGTAAACAAGTAAAATGTCTTAAAGACAAGAATTTTGAATTTGGCTTTAAATAGTTTAAACTCATTGTAATTTCCTTTCATCGATTATTATAAAAGTATATAGGATGATCGTTAAATTTCACACTATGCATAAAAAGATTACACGTAATTAAATAAATAAGTTTCTACTCTCATACAGATGCTTTGTTAAGAAAATAAATTAATAAATTTTCGGATTTCCATTAAATGTTTTATATTTAGGCTTTTTGGAGCTTCTGATTAAAAATCGGAACTTAGTTTAACAAAATTCTAAATAGCTTAAACAGCAGACTGCATTTAAGCTTCGTATTAAGTGAGTGATGTTTTATTTGGTGTATGTATCATTAAAGAACAAGTGAAAACTAAAAGAACAATTTACACGCATGTAAATTACAAATGTGCGATATAATATTAATCGATGTTACCTGTATCCTAAGTGTTATTTAGTGACTATCGAGCATCATGCTGTATAGTAAACCAAAGATTATTAAAAACCATGCACATACGCATGTAGAAAATCCGTATGTTCTTTGTTTGTTATGTTGCAGTATATTAATCATTGTCTTATTTTTGCTGAAACATAACAAACAAGTAACATACCGAGTAAACAGGTAACTTCCATTAATGGGGAGTGACACTTTTGAAGTCTCTTTTCAACCTTTTTTGGTGAATTTTTTTAAGACAAAGGAATAAAGTAAACAAAATTTGGTTTCGAGGACTTTATTTGTAAACTTTTTAAGTTTACCAAAATATATTTATACTTAAAAAAAGTTTCAAATTGTTGCCTATAGAAGCCGCTAAATTTGGTCTCATTTTTCAAGGCAAATCGGTGCGGTGGGCAAAATTCCGGTTAGACCGTTTAATCAAGAACAAAAATTCAAATTTCTCCTGAATTTGTATTAAATTTAGCTTTAGAGTACGTAGGATATTTCAAAAATATTAATTTTTGTGGATTTGGTAAATATTTGAAGAAAAAAGTCGATTTTTAGGGCGAAATTTTTTCAAAAAATCTATTGCTAAAAAACAAAAAAAACCAAAAAAATCCGCTACGTACTCTAGAGCATTAGTAAATGACGATCAAAAAAAAAACTTTGGCCGAAGTCAATCCGATCAAAACTGTTTGAGCTAGACTACCAACCGTTTTTAAAAATGTCATTTAGAGAAAAACGCGTTTAAAGTTTAAACTTATAAAAAAATAAACTCAACGTTAATCTGCGATGCCTGCATCGTATAATTGGCCTTCTACATTAATATTGGCTTCATCTTTAGCCCTTCGAGCGGATGTGAGCGTAAAAGAACGTAATTGTTACCACGGTAAAAGAGAACATAGCCGATAGCGCTAACAAGCTCACGAAGCCTTCTTCAATACCTTCTGCAGATTTCGATTTTTTCATATAAAATAATTTCGAAATCGCTTTTGATGATATATTTTCTATTCTACAAATCATCAAGTATCGTGTTAACAAACAAAAAAATCCATTTTTTTCGGGTCAAAGGTGTCACTCCCCCTTAATATTTTATCACATTTGTAATTTACATTCGTGTAAATTGTTTTTTTAGTTTTCACTTGTTCGTTAATGATACATACACTAAATAAAACATCACTCACGTAATATGAAGCTTAAGTACAGTCTAATGTTTAATCTACAATTTACTTAAAGCCAAGAAGGTGAACGTCCAATGGTGACATTTACCGAAGTGACAACAGACATAGTCGGAAAAAGGTAGGAAAAATTAAAATAAGCAAAATTTAAAGTAAGATCATTACATTTTAAGATTCCGTAGCAACCCTACAATACGTCTGTTGAATTATAAGTCAGGGAAAAAATAATTTTTAAAATGAAATTTCCTTTATTCGATTTATTTTGTGTGATATATATTTCAGAAAAAACATTTCTAATAACATATTGAATAAATTGAGAATGAAAATGGTAAGTTTCAAGCAGAAAAACGTGTGTTTCACAAAAGAATTTGCAATAATTGGGTTTTAAACAAAAAAAAGGATTTAAGTCTCTTTCCTCCTTACTTTTCCTAATACGGTAAAGGCCTTTTCTACCAACTGGCACTTTTTCTACCTGACTTCTTCCTTCTCCTCCTCTTACTGGCTCTCCCTTCTAATCTCTCTGACTTTCCACCCACATTCTATTCGAACTATCTCTCCTTCTTCTAGCTACACAACTTTCTCTCTCTACTTCTACTGCTCTCACTTCTGCTCGACTGACTATCGTACTACTGCATAAACAAACGTATTTTTACGTAAACAATCAACTACACTACCGTCCGAAATTGTGCGAACTCTGCTTTTTCAACAACTATAAAACTGTTCAAATCTTCAAAAATATTAAAACTAAAATTTTTTCCTCTTTATTTTATTAAAGTTAATAAAATTCTGAAAGAAATGACACCTTGACAAAGAGAATATGTTAATTTTTCAATTAGATATCTAAAAAAAACCCAATTTTCAATGTTTTTACTATTTTTTTTATTTCTCTGACAAAAATTAATATTTTTAAACGTTCTTAGGCTCATTGAAATCGTATTTTGTTATTCAATTCAAATTATAAAAAACAATTCATGTACACATTCTTCCCTAGCGTATGCAAACCGTGAAAGTTGGCTCATAAAATGTCAAAAAATTTAAATTTAATTCTACAATAAAATATAATGTTTTAAAATCAAGTAAATATATCATTCTAAACTTCTCTGATTTATGTAAGTAAATTTAAGATTTATACATTTTACTGATCATTTTTTGTCATATAAATATTAATCACAATTTTTTGACATTTTATGAGCCAACTTTCACGGTTTGCATACGCTAGGGAAGAATGTGTACATGAATTGTTTTATATAATTTGAATTGCATAACAAAATACGATTTCACTGAGCCTAAGAACGTTTAAAAATATTAATTTTTGCCAGAGAAATAAAAAAAATAGTAAAAACATTGAAAATTGGGTTTTTCTTAGATATCTAATTGAAAAATTAACATATTCTCTTTGTCAAGGTGTCATTTCTTTCAGAATTTTATTAACTTTAATAAAATAAAGAGGAAAAAATTTTAGTTTTAATATTTTTGAAGATTTGAACAGTTTTATAGTTGTTGAAAAAGCAGAGTTCGCACAATTTCGGACGGTAGTGTATCTATCCACTCTTCTGGCTCAATTCTTTCGACTTTCTCTCCTCCTTCAACTCTTCTGTGAATACTCTTAACTGGCTTAGGATGTCGTCCGTAATTTAGGACGGCTGGGGATGTATTGGTGGCCGCTTGTGTAGCTGTATCATCCCAATCTCGATGATCGTTTCCTACGAATGTTGAGATCATTTTCTTTAACGTCTTATAACTTCTCTCCACTGGATTGGCTTGGGGATGGTATGGTATTTATAATGTGTCTCACACCATATTCTTCAAGCGTGGCATTTAGGAATTTATTATCGAATTCCTTACCCTTGTCTGTGAGGAAGTATTCTGGTGTCTCCCAGCGAAACAGTACTACTTCTTCGAATGTTTTTGCCACTGTTTTTCTAGCTGCTGACCTTAAAAGCTTGACCTCAATCCATCTAGAGAATAAATCGTGGAAGACCACCAGGTATTTACAACGGCTTTTACTCGGCTGAAACTCCATTGTATCCACTGCAACTACCACCCATGGTCTCTCAACAATCCTCTGGCCTATTAGTCCATCTTGGAAAACTTTATGTAACTGTCACTTTTAAGTGTCTCACCATTATTTAATTTGATTTTACCAACTCCCTCCGTTTTTAAATCCGCTGATTTGTTTTTATTTGCACATTTAATCGTGCCGGTTTCAAGTTCATCAAAAGTTCTAAATATAATTTTAGAATTTGTTAAATGATCGGTCG